GTGGGGGGGTGTGGTGCTTGGAGCAGGGGGGGCTGGGAGCCAGGACTCCTGGGTTCTCTCCCCGGCTCTGGGAGGGCGTGGGGGCTGGTGGTTAGAGCAGGGGGGGCTGGGAGCCAGGACTCCTGGGTTCTCTCCCCGGCTCTGGGAGGGGAGTGGGGGCTGGTGGTTAGAGCAGGGGGGGCTGGGAGCCAGGACTCCTGGGTTCTCACCGCCCCGTCTCTCGCCCCGCCCAGGACCGTGGCCGCCACCAACATGAACGAAAGCAGCAGCCGCTCACACGCCGTGTTCACCATCGTCTTTGCGCAGAGGAGACACGACGAGCTAACCGACCTCGACACCGAGAAGGTAACGGGGCGGCAAGGGGGGGTGGGGGTCAGGGCACCGGTGGGGCCAGTTCAGCCTGGCTGGGAGTGGGCGGGGCCAGGCGTGGAGCAAGTTGCCTGGTTCTCAGCGAGGGCCGGGCCGGGGGTGTTGGGCGGGGTGTGTGTACGAAGCCCCTGCCAGCCCTCCTGACGCCCCGTCCCGCCCCCACTTCCCCCCGCCCAGGTCAGCAAAATCAGCCTGGTGGATCTGGCTGGCAGCGAGCGAGCGGAGTCGTCCGGCGCCAAGGGCATGAGGTTAAAGGTGAGGGGGGGGGCCCCCCTTGGGGGGCAGGCCTGGGGGCTGGGGGGGGGGGAGGAAGTGGAGCGTCGGCCGCAGGGTTCTGGGATCGGGGATAGGGCCAAGCCCCTCACAGTTCAACAGGATCCGGGGAGCTAAAACCCCCCACACACAATTGGGGGGGGGGGGGTCTCCTGAGGGGGCTGGCTGACCGCGGCCCCATGGGCACAAACGCGGCTGGAGCGGGCGGTCCTGGTGCAGGCGTCTCGGGGGGTGGGGAGCGGACCGCTGGGGGGTGGGCGGGGGTCTCTATAACCCCCCCCAACGCGCTCTCCCATCTGCAGGAAGGTGCGAACATCAACAAATCCCTCACCACGCTGGGGAAGGTGATCTCCGCCCTGGCCGAGATGGTGAGTGCCAGGGGCGGGGGGATCACAGCCCCCCCTGCCCCCCAAGTGACTGACCTCGGGGTCCCTGTAGTGCCAGGCCCTGGGGATCGAGCTGGGACCGGGGCCCCACAAGTCCCCACCCAGCCAGACCCCTGGGAGCGACCCGTCCCCTTGGCTGGGACCCGGGCGCCCAATCTTGGGGTTCTTGGTCCCCCGCGCAGCCCCCAGGTTAGCACGGAGACACCCCCACCCAGCCGAGCTGCCGGGGTTCCCCGTCTTGTCTCGGGCGCCACCAGTCCCGGGGAGAGGGGGCATCGGGGGGTGGGGGGGTGTCTCGCCTCCCAGCCAGTGTTGCACCGAGGGGAAACTGAGGCAGGTGTCGGCCTCTCCAAGAGAGAGTACAGATAATCCCCGTTGGGTCGCGTTGGGGGCGTCACCCCTTCCCCAGCAGGGCCCCTCTGTGTTCTCACCCCCCCCCATTCCCTCACCAGCAAAACACCAAGAAGAAGAAATCCGATTTCATCCCTTACCGTGACTCGGTGCTCACCTGGCTGCTCAAGGAGAACCTGGGTAAGCCCCCGCCCTCCCCGATCCCTCAGCAGTGGTGGGGTGCACTTGGGGGGGAGCGCACAGGACAACTGCGCTCGGGGGTGGGATACGGGGGGGAAGGGTGTGGCTGCCGGAGGGAATGGGGGGGAGAAGGAGGGTGTCCCTTGGGGGTGTATGAGATAAGTTGGGGGGGGGGGGCTGGCTAATTAACCTCCCCACTGCCCCCTCCCCAGGCGGTAACTCCCGCACTGCCATGATCGCCGCCCTCAGCCCGGCCGACATCAGCTACGAGGAGACACTCAGCACGCTCCGGTGAGCACCGCAGATGCCGGGGGGCGGAGAGGGAGAGGGACGGATGGCAAGGGGTGGGGATGTGGGGCAGCGGAGGGGG